AATTTAAAGTATAATTCTTTAACATTTTTCTTGAAATAAGTATTAAAAATTTATCTAAGAATAGAAAATTACTAATTATTTATTTAATACAAAGTTAAAACATTCAATGCAACATATATGTCATGAAGATATCCTATTCTATGACAAATCGCATCATAAACTTTCCAAAGAAAAAAATTTTGTACATATTAATTTTTTTTTTGCATGTTTAATTATTATCATGTATTATCAATATTCATAGTTAATTTATATTTCATTATTTATGACTATATCGAAAATCAATATCCGCCAACAGAAATTTTCTTTGATTTTTGATTGAAATACATTGAATATATTAAGAAAATATTAGGTATACTATATTAAGTACTATATTGAATAAGTTTGTTTATACCCAATTTATTTATTTAAATATATTTGTATCATTAAAATTATGAATTATTAAAATTTTAGAATCAAGTGTTTTTAAAAAGATTTATCATATAATATAAATAAAAAAAATAAAATAAAAAAATAAATAATTATATGTAAAAATTATATTAAAATTAAAAAGAAATTGAATATAGAAAAAATTAATTAAATTTCACAAGTTTAGATAAATGTATATATAAGATAATGTATATATATATATAAAGTATAATATAAAGTATTTTTAAAAAACTTATATATTAAATTTTTGTGTTAAGATATATTTAATTTAATATAAGAGATATACATTTTTATTATTTATATTTTATTTTCATTTAATATATAATTATAATTTTAAATTAAAAAATAAATTCATAATAGAAAAGTAATATTTATTAATTTTTATATTTTTTAGAATGATATAAATATAGATGACATAAATATTATCAAAACAAATTAGTTATTATTCAATATATATTAAAATTATTAAAAAATGAAGGAAAAATATATAGATTAAAAAATTAATAAGCATTCATTATAGATATATAAATTTTATTTTAATAATATATCTTTTAAAAAGATATATTTGATGAAAAATGAAAATTATGAATAGTAATAACCAATAAATCAATAAATTAAAAACATATTAATATAAAATTAAGAATTGAAATAAATAAAAATAAAATTTATTTTAATTATTTAAATCTTAATTATCTTTAGGCATTTTTTTTTATGATAGTGTTTATATACAACAAAAATAAATAAATGATCAAATCTAATGCTTTATTTCTACATTGTGATCAATGTATAATCATAATAAAAGAAAACTATGAATGATAGTAAATTTTCATATTTTCTATTTATCATAATTTTATTACAGAAATTTATGTATTTATTGATTTGCAAAAAAAAAATTAGATACAATTTTTTAATATTTTAAAATATTTTATTAATAAAAATTTTTTCTTTATTTATTTTTATTTTTTTTAAAGATATTTTGATAAATTATTTATAAGAAATAAAATTACAAAATATCTCACATAAAAAAATATAATTTTTCGTGATTTTTATGATAATTTAAATATAATAATATATTTAATTTTAAAACATATGAATGATAAAATTGAATTAATATAAGATAATAATAATAAGATAATTTTAAGATAAATTATTATATTATTAAAAATGTATAAAATTACTCTATTATTTTTAAAATTTAAAAATATATTTCAATTTTTGACAATTAACTTTTTGTATATGATTATTATAAGGAAAAAGTAACATTGATAAAGGATATATAATAACATATTTTTAATAATTCCTGAAGAAGTTTTTTTACATAAAATATACTTTTATTAAATTTTTAAATCACATTATATATTATGTCATAAAACATAATCAGATTAGTTTAAAATAAAGAAATAGAATATCTGCAAAATAATAAAAAATCAAATTGTTATATGATGATATCAGTATATTAATTACTTTCTTCCAAATTTGACTTATTAATGAAGAAGAATTCTATAGAATATTTTATTATGATTTATTAGTTTTAATTTTAGACTTAAAAATATTAATTATATATAAATAGGTAATTAATTAGTTTAAAATTTAATATTGTAATATCAAAGAATAAATGTATAATTACTTAATATTATATTTGACATTAAATGGAAAGAATATAATCACACATTGAAGAAAGAAGATCAATAAGATAATGAAAATGAAAACAGCAATGACAAAGAAATGCAAGAAACTATTTCTATTGAATTTAAATAAAGCTATTGATAATGCTGAAATATTCAAAATTACAATAAAATCAATATAAATATATATTATTAATAAAAAAAAAAACAAAAATTTATTCTGTGTCCACAAATTATGAATTTGTTACTAAGTATATTTATATTATAATATATATAATATATATAAATATATATATAATATATATTTATATTATAAGATATAGACCAATAATGTACATTTGATGATTTTTGTAATTTAAATATATATATAAATATATATTTATACAATAATCTTATTAAATGATATTTTATATATTCAATTATTTCTAAAATTGATTGAATAGTAATTGTAAAAGTAGATTGCCAAAAATTAAATAAAAGAAGAATAAATTAAGAATAAGATGATTTTTCTTCCTAAATTTAATATGATTTCACTGATTTTACAGATAATGAAGATTATAATAATAATGAAAATAATTTTATAGATATGCAGAATTATGAATAATATTGAAAAATATATATTATAAAATAAAATAAGTTAGATATATTATTTTTAAAGTATTTTTATAATATTTATAATAT